TAGTTACAATTATATTATAACAGTAAAATATAAAAATACATTCATATAGTATAATATAAACTAAATGTACAAGTTTTTCTATTCAATAATAATAAATAATCTTTATTTCACTCTTTGTTACAATATAGTTTGAAGTCCCTAACTCCCGAGGTAGGTATGAAAAAAAACCTGTGTTTCAGGAGTTAAAATTCAATACTTATCAATAGGTATTAAGTTCTTATGCAATAATATGTTTAAGCATGTAACATGCATCATCATATTTATCGTCAACTGTCCACTGCTGGACATAAGCCTCCGAAGGTTTTGCCAGTAGTTGCCACGCTTGACAGGTGGATTAGCAACCGCAATTTAGCTTTTGGTGATGTTTTAAGATGGACGCTGCTGCTCATTCTACGACCAGTAAGTTTGCTTAATCGCCTCTTACGATACTCACCAGAAGAGGGACGTTGCTGCCCAGCCCTCGACGTTAAGTTCGTTAACCGCCTCTTACGACGCTCACGGGAAAGGAAGGAGTGTCCCATTCTATGCTGGGACCACACGGCAGGTATTTTTGTGGACCAATGACCCCATCGCTAACAATATACTATATTAGGTCGACCTCCACGCGGTCCTACCTGGAAACTACTGTGGTAATATCTGATAAATTAGCCACAGTGGACTAACTGATCTGACTCGCCTACTATTATGCTCTGCGGCGTATACTAATTGCGTGGGTCCCCCATTTCTTTTTAATCCCATTAAAAAAGCACTCACAAACGCCATCGTTCGCAATAGGTCGCACCGCGTGCACACAATTATTTTTGCTTACTGGAATCATTACAACAATTATGTAATTCCCAAAACATGTCAAGTTCTACGACATGCCATCTCATTACATCTAAGTTAGTTATTTTCTCTGTATTACAACATACCCGTTGGTTAAGAAACAGAGCATGACGTTGATCTCGCTATGATTTCAATTAGAGTAATAATACTATTAACAAATAACTTAATAAAAGTCTTTCTACATTCACGCTAGATCCCTTACAAAGTAGACAGAGAAAATTAAATTGCAAAGGTCTATATTTCTACACAAGTAGATCTTAAAAAAGGTAATTATTGTATTTGTACTTTTTGTGTGTGGCAACATTATTTTATTTCCCGCGTTTTTTGCTGCTTTTGTCTTTGTGTCTGTTTTTTATTGTGTGAATAAGGTGTCAACGTATTGAAAAAAAATAAAAAAAAAGGTTAAATTTATCATTCCAAATAATTTATGGTGCCGAAACGCGGGAAATAAAATAATGTTACCATACACAAAAATACAAATACAGAGTAATTGTTACCTTTTTTTACATAACCTCCCTTCAAAGATTTTCAACAATTTATTAAGTTTAAACTTATATATATAGTATAGATAAGGTTATGTGCTTAACTATATAATAGTAGTTAAGCACATAACCTTATCTCTTACTTCGTGCATTTTCATAGTTTCGTAAAAATAATTTTAAAGTTATACCTTTATTCTTAGATAAAGAAACAGTTAATAGTAACTTAAAGAATTTAATGTACCATAATTAGAGACGAAACGGATATACAACAACTATTCAGTATCCGGCCTATTCGATCGTAAATTAACTGTCCGATTAGATGCCGGATATTATCTTGTTTTTACTTAAACTGTATCGATTAAATGATTCAAATAGTAATAATGTAATATTGTTATTTGCATATGTTTTATTGACATGAGTATTTTTGTTAGAATAAGAGATTTCCATTTACCGTATACATACTCCCCCCCCCCCCCCTCTGCACTCTAGAAAATAATCGTAAATATGTCAAAGGCAAGCTTGTCAGAATAGTTTAATAAATATAGCTGATGGCTAGCTCCTCTGTCGGGGAGGGAAGGGATTGTTAATTATGTGAATTACCAGTCCCATTGCTAACAATATATCCTGTCAGGTCAACCTCTACGTGGAACCATCGCCATGTTGAATTCCAGTTGTATTCATTACAAAGGGTTAACTTACCTACCTATTCATTCTCACTTATCATCCTTCACTTGTGCCCCTCCAACGAATACCGTTAGCTCAGTCGGGGTTACCATTGCATTATCAACAATTAAAAAAACTACTCTGTCATTCTCGTGAACGAGTGCTGTTGTGGGGACTGGTGTACTTACGTTTGCTTGTTTGTTTTTCATTAAATAATAAATATAAATTGAGCTTAATGCTAATTATAGTCACAGAACTCATCATCATCATATCAGCCTTTAACTGTCCACTGCTGAACGTAAGTAGTTTACCAGTAGTTGCCACACTTGGCATGCGGATTGGCAACCGCTGTCAGGCTTTAGAGATGTTTTCAGAGGGACGCTGCTGCTCATCCCTCGCCCTCTCTTAGTTAGATTCTTACGACACCCACGGGAAAGGAAGGGGTAGCCTATTCTATGCCAGCCCTTCCTTTCCCGTGTGGACTACATGGGACACAGTACCCATACAAATGTAAAATTATCTTATACATAAAATTTTAAAACGAGTCACTGCTGAGAAGAACTCTTCTCAGTAGTGACTCAACGTCACTGCTGAGAAGAGTTCTTCTCAGCAGATAACGACATTTAGAACTCAGCAACAGAATCAGAAAAAAATTTACGATTTAAAAGAATTTATAAACAAGTCTATTGGAATAAAGATCATTTCTATTGTATAGTACAGAGTAAACGAAAAGCCTCTGAATGGAAATATTTAGTGTTCTACATTTTCTGCGTACCCTGAGAGTCAGGCGTGATGTATATGCATATACGTATGTAATCATAACACACTGATCTCAAAATCTTAAAACCATATAATTTTTCTAACAATTTTGACACCTACTTCCGTTTAGAAATCATTCCGTAATCTATTTGCTTAATTTTTTAATGAAAAATCCGTCAATGCTGTTTTACTCAACATCTACTTAAACAAATAGCATTTCTTAAGTTCTCTAATTATAACTTGATAGCCGTCAAATATTCCTTGTTTCATTACATAATAAGTGAGACATAAAATAAATTATACAGAAAATTATGCGACTCATACGGTGACTTAAAACATAACATTAAGTAAATAACAAAAAATATTATGGATACAGTATTCATAATTTGTGTAATCCCAGCAAGAATAGCCCACTCCTTCCTTTCCCGTGGGTGTCGTAAGAGTCGACTAAGGGAGGGCGAGGGATGGGCAGCAGCGTCCCTCTTAAAACGTTTCTAAAAGCCTAACTGCGGTTGCCAACCCGCCTGCTAAGCGTGGCAACGACTGGCAAAAACTCCCCTTATGGGGAAGGCTTATGTCCAACAGTGGACAGTTAACGGCTGAAATAATAATATTAAAAAATCATAATCCAGTATGCAGATTAGCACATATCCCGACATAACACGAAGTAGCCCTAAGGAAAAGCAAGATGAAATAGCAATAGACTGGTCACATAGCTCGAAGAATCGACAACCTATAGGAAAGGATGTTTCTTGAGTGGCAACCCCGTACGGGCACTGTAGAACGAACCCCACTAGATGGAGTGACGACCACAAGTGCATTGCAGGAAGTCAGTGGATGCGGGTGGCTCAGGACCGTTTCTTATGGCAGTCTACAGGGGAAGCTTACCAGAGGGAGACTTTGTACAAAAGTCGATTGCTTGGGTACCTCTGTCCCATTCGTGTTGCAACCGTGAAGCGGTTGTTTGCATGGCTGTGTTTCGGTTTGAAGGGTGGGATATGGCGTGAATTTACTGAGTACAGAGGATTAACATCTGAGTCCTCAGGAATGACAACGCATGGGGGGTATCATGGGCGAAACAGTATACTCTGTTATGTTCATGGTACTGTTCATGTTTATAGGCGACGGTTACCGCTTTCCATCAAGTGGGCTGGCTTGTTTGCCTTTATAAGTAACATAAAAAATATAAAAACAGATTCTAAATCCATTTATGCCTAAAACAGACGTCTGTCTGTGTAGTAAGAACTCCATAGGAGTTGCTTAAGCGAACAAAGCATATAACATTAGTGCAAGAGAGGAAAAATTTGAAATGAAATGCTATTCCAATCCGTTTGGCCAGCGTAGCATAGTAGGATATATTCATTTCTTATGGAGATAGGGTTGTGCCCAGTAGTGGGATCCCAAGAAAGTGCATAACGAAGTATGGGCAACATAACAATTAGGTACCTGTCAAGTTTCTGACCGGTTATTTTGAAATGTTCTCTACTAGCAAAGTAAAACGTTAATCGTGTAATAATATTTTATATATATACTAAACTACCGTTGAAAAATTGGATTTTGGTAAAGAAAAATATTTAAAAAAACAACAAGCCAGCCCACTTGATGGAAAGCGGTAACCGTCGCCTATAAACATGGACATTCTGTGATGTCCATGGTATGATGATCAATACGGTGTTATTTCTGGCCTCTATATTGTACTTGCTAAATTCACTGTCATATTTCAATCTTCAAACCGAAACCATGCTAACATAGCTACTTCTTGATAGGAACACAGGTAGAACAAAAAATTCTGTTAATTTCAAAATAATAGACATGTGCTCACTGTTTGGTACATTAAAATAATTTTTTCTTTCTTTCTTTACCCCATAAATCAGAATGAATAGAATAGAAAACAAGTCTTTTATTAAAATAAATATAATAAATAGATATAATTTAAAATTTCAAAACGAACGTTAATTATGTATATAAATATACCTAAATTACAAAGACTCGTGGCCATAGATTATGTTGCTGTATTATATCAGTTTATTAGTATGTTTGGTAATTGTTATTAACGCTTTAAATTTAAACCATTAATTTACTCTTCAAGGGTGAGTGACACAAGGGTCGACAACATGAGAGTCATCTGCAGTCGTTCATTGGCTGCAGTAACCGCTTGCCATCAGACAAGCCGTATGATTGATTGTTAACATTACTGTTTTTAAAAAAATCATGAACGGTAATTATTACAAAATAGTATAAAAGTGTGAGCAGATAACTAGGTATACTTACTTTGCGACAGATGGTGTTTCAAAAATTCAACTTCACTGAAATTCGCACTTCACATTTGAACACAACCGAATAATAATGCGTCCTGCACACCATTTCTAAGTACAGAAATTTAAAAAAGTATCACAACTTTTTACGACAAATAAACTCATTAATAGATTGTTTTAAAATTTAAAATTCAACTTTCGAATTGCAACGCTTAAATTCTCCGAAAAAGCGCGAATAATTTTTAAATCGATCTTATCAATAATACCTATCGTCAGACCATAACCGTGACCTAAAATTAATGATTATGTCATAAGAATTTATGTAATTCCAATGGGTTAGTAATTTTTTTTTTATTTGAATACTCGTCCGCGTCAGAAAAGTGTGCCATGCAAATGCGGGCGCCGACCGGCAAAGACGTTCATTGCATAATGCCCGACGCGTGTTTACTAAGCGGACCAAAGGTAGAAACTGAAAGTGGTCTCCCAGCGAGCTTCTTTAACCCCTCCCAGATGCCACCGTAGTTAGGTAATGGAGTGATTATCATTAATCCCCTTTTCTTAACTGCATACATCCGTTGCTTTGACACAACCTACGTTTGACACGCCATCATTTTTTGGAAATTGCCTAAAGTGGTCATATTTCTGTGAAAAATTTTCATCTTCAATTGTAATTTACTTTAAACATAACTGTGTAGTACACAATTGTGTTGTTTGTACCTACCTGTCTCTATGCAGATATACCTACTTTCAACGACCTTCATAAAACAGTGATAACGTACGTATGAAGCACCGTGTTGGATTCTCACGTGCGATAATTTAGTAAACAGAATATTTCAAAATTTATGGTACGATTATAAATTTTGAAATATTTTTCCCCCCGCTCCGATGATAGAAAATGTTGCCAAACCAAATTAATCTGGATTACGACCCCCTGGCAAAATGTCGATATATCCAGTACTATGTTCACAACATTGTCAAAATATCTGACTCCCCCATCAGGGACTACAGTTATTTTATTATCAGCCCCACCTATGTCAAGTATAAAACTAAAATCGAGTTTTTCAAAACCATACTCAATACAAAAATTACATAAACTATTTTATGTATTCAACTAAAATTCACTTTATAAGATGTTTATCTAATCCAGGTTTTAAGTAAACAAAATTGCTTATGGATTCTAGGAATATATAGGTGTTTATTGATTTTCAATGGTACCCATAGTAAATATCTAAGGGGAGAAAGGGATTATTAGTTATGTGATTTAACAGCCTCATAACTGGCAATATACCCTATCTGGTTAACTTTTACGTGATTCCCCCTTGAAACCATCGTGGTTACCATAATTCTTGTCGAAATCGTCATATTGGGCCAACTCACCGGTATTCCTCTACCTAGACCTATAGGGTAAATTGATATTTAAAAAAATATGTAAAATTGCTAATAGGTTTTTTTAAACTCATTGTTAACAATCCCTCCCTCATCTATCACTGGTACCCCACTAGCGTATTGCGATAACGTAGACGAGGTTACCGTTCCGTTTTCACCCATTAAAAAAACCGTTAGATAATAACGAATCTTTTATTTAGAAAATATATAATACCTGTAATGAAAATTAATTTACTGAAGTTAGTATAGACTACTACTAAGTAAAGTTTATTTGTTTTTTTTTATCTCTCGACGTCCTAATGGCTCAACGAATTGTCATAAATTTTTGTCACGTAGTTTTTTTTTATGGGATGATAATGGACAGGTAACTACGCCTGTACTATCAGCACGATGGTTTCCAGGGGAGATTGCTGGAAGTCGACCTGACCTGAAGGGATTGTTAGTATAGAGGAGTTTAGTTCCCATTGCTATCAATATACCCTATCAGGTCGACCTCCACGCGGTTCCCCCTGAAAACTATCGTGACCAATTTATCATTGAATTCGTCACAATGGGCGTTAGCCCATGACCTGCCTTTTCATCCTTACCTATCATCGCTCACTGGTACCCCGCTAGTGTATACCGATAGCGCAGGCGGAGTAACCATGTCATTTTCACGCATAAAAAAAAAGACCCTATACGCTATATTGCTAGCAATGGGCGTGGCAGTCTGCATTACTAAGAATCCCTTCCCCCATATAGTAATTAAGCTGGAGTACATAGAATTTACACATATATCTGTAAATCAATACATCTTAATCACGTGGACTAAGTCAAGAGCACAACTAGTAACAATTATATTTATTTAAATGAAATCGAAAGTTTTTGCTTACGTTTCTTTGTTTGTTATTTTTTACACTTCACACGGATGTTTATTTATCATTGTCAATTTGTTTTGCTTTACACTCCAATGAAAAAGTTCTCAAGAGAAGATGTTAATGGCCCGTGTAGGCGGTGGACAATCCTCGGCGTACTTTTTTACCTGTCGTACATTTTTTTTATGCAACTTAAGAATGGCAAACAAGCTGACGGCCCACCTAATGGAAAGTGGTAACCGTCGCCTATAGACATGGGCAGTACCATGGACATAACAGAGTATACTGTTTCGCCTATGATACCTCCCATGCATTGCCAATTCTGAGAACTCAGGTGTTATTCCTTTGTATCCTCTCTGTGGGAGACTTTGTACAAAAGTCGTTTGCTTGCGCAACTCTGTCTCATTGGTGTTTCTACCGTGAACCAGTTCTGTTTTGCATGGCTGTTTCGGTTTAAAGGGTGGGATATGGCAGTGAATTTATAGAGTACAGAGGTATCGTACATAATACTAAATATTGGAGGAAAAGGATTGGGAACGGGCCTAGCGGTCCAATTGCTAGCAATATACTCTGTCAGATCAACTTCACGCGGTCTCTCCAGGAAACCATCGTGATTAAGTCTTGATGAATTCGTTACCATGAGCTAACTGATCTGTTTTCATTCCCACCGATAATAAAGGCGAGGCAGGAAAAGGGATAGTTAGTAATGAGGTCTAACAGCCCATTGCTAGAAAAACACCCTATCAGATCGACTACAACGCGATTTTCCAGAGAAAACTATCGTAGTTATTCGTGTGTAATTCATCACGATGGATTAACTGACCTGTGTTCATCTTCACTTCCTATTATTTCTTACTGTTACCGCCAGCGTATACCAATAGTGCAAGCAGAGTCACCATTTTAATGTCATCTATTAAAAAAAATACAGGCGGGGTTACCAGTCTATAATCATTAATTAAAAAAGAATAGAAAATATTGACACTTCAACGCACACAATGTCCATGCAAGTACGCGGCTGAAGCAAAGGGAAATTTTGCCCCTACCAAAGCCACAATCGCGTTTTTTATGCAATTTAGAATGGCAAACAAGCCAACGACTCATCTGATGGAAAGTGGTAATCTATGTACTCATATCAATTTTTGGCCTTAAATTAGGTTCTAGATTACTTCATGAATATACATATATTGTGTGTCCGAATGCTAAATGTAAGAATGGATGACAAGCAAGGATAACAAGGAAAAATGGACAGACTGTGAAGGATTATAATCATTAGCATATTTAGAACGGGAAACCAGGTGGACTTTTTTTTTTTTTTTTTACAACACAGGGGGCAAACGAGCATGCGGCTCACCTGATGGTAAGTGACTACCGCCGCCCATGGTCACCCACAACACCTACGGCATTGCAGGTGTGCTGCCGGCCTTTTAAAAAGGAATATGCTCTTTTCTTGAAGGTTATGTGACTGTGCCCATCACAGAATCATGTAATACCCAATGCAAGAAGCAAGCAAAGCTTCGCAAAAACATATCTGAGAGTGTGTATAAGCCTCTTTTAAAGGGCCAGACTTCCTGGCTCAGGATAATTATGCAATTAATTGATTTTAGCACTGAAATTTAAAATCCGGATGTTGTTCATCCAGAGTGTAAAAATCGGCGCTTTCTCCCTAATGCCTCACCATCTTTGCACTCCTGGGCTAAAGTGGGCTTGATAATACGCATACAAGAATGAATCCGGTATAAAATGTGATAGAGATAATTGAAACATTTGAAGGCAAATCAATCCGAGTTGCCAGAAAGAATTTTTTTTATTTTAACTTATATATCACATATTTTTTTCTACAAATCGATAGAATTTTGTTTACGATATTGGTTTAGCCAATCACAAACTAGTATCGGTTTTCATTACGTTTTGCCATAGCTCACAAAACGAACGACAAAAAAGACGCGTTTCTATATCTTTAAAAATTTAAAGATAAACCCAAATTTCTCCAAAAACTTCATTTCTCCAAAATTTCGCGAACAGAAAAATTTGGGGAAAAACCCAATTTAGCAAGACTGTAATTAAATACTACTGCAAACTCTAGTAATCGTGTGAGGGTAGCAACTCTAATGTCAGGGGAAAAGGGATTGTTAGTAATGGAGTGTAATAGCCCTATTTGCTAACAATATCCCCCCCCCCCCCCAACCCATCGTGGTTAATTCTACTTGAATTCGTAATGATGATCCAAGTGACATGCTTCCATCCTCACATACCATCTCACACTAGTATCTCGCCAGTGTATACCGATAGCACAAAAATATATAGGTGAAAATGGAATGGTAACCCCGACCATTCCATTTTCACCCATAAAAAAAAACTTCTGATGTCAAGTAGGCTAAGTAGATGTAGGCCGTCTTCTATACGCATGAAGACCTCTGACACTTACCGCCCCCCTCCCCCTGATTACGTATGTTGCAGTGTGCAATAGTCGAAAATTGTTTGATTTTTACTGTCAATCTTAATTTGTTACATGTTTTGTAATAAGTAAGAGAGATTAGCGAGAAAATAGCAATAAACGTTGGTACCGCCTTTGCAGCAGATTGAAAATAAAAGCACCTGGTATTATGAATTATATTTATCACTATTTACTTTATTAGTTCTCTCTTTTTGCTACTTAATCACTAGTCATGTTTTGTCAAATAAAAGTAACCAATTTAATGGTTCGGAAGCGATAATGTTACATATTATTTTTCATTTCCTATTATATATTTAAGAGCTGCGCTCTGGTCGGTTCAGCGAGTTTCCTCATTTTAATACGACACAATACCAACTTTTTCCTTAATCTGCCTGATGTAACTATGGTTTAGTCTCCCTCTTCCCCTCCTTCCTTCTATTAATGTTCATAGGTTCGTCCTATCAAGTGTCCTAACATTTTCTCCCTTTTTTGACCTCAATGTTACATATCATTATTTTTGACAATTAGCAATCGATCATTAAATGATCATACAGTATTAAATAGGTAATCAGCTTGTAAAAGGCGACTCACAGTTCTAAAATTATGAATAATTCCAATTCATAACTAAAAAATTCAAGGTGTTTACGCTAGGATTCAATCTTAAAATATCTTTCGATCTGAAAACCTTGGTTTTATTCGTAGTCAAAGGATATACCTAAGGAAAATCGATGTGCTGACTTTAGGTGTAAAAAGCTTAGAAATAAAACCACCATA